ACAACCTTATACTATCCTAAACAGACAATGAACTAAAATTTCGATAGAAAATATGTTTCCTTTCCATTCCACTCCAATCGAGGAAACTCAATGTATCGGAGTTTGTTAAGGGAGAAAATGACATTTTAAGTCTCATCTCACAGCAAACAAGATTATGCGCTTAAACGATTTTTTCTCATAACAAATAGATTTGCATAACCTACTATTTCAGGATTGATTTTTTATTATTTCGTTGGATTACAGCAAACTTTAAATAATAGAGGAGTTTTAAACAAATGGAACTGATTTATTCATAGACGTATTATTTCTTCATTGCAATAGCAAGTTTTGCTAATTACCACTTACATCAGAAGTGTGCTGTTATTGGACAGTTAATAGAAAAATTAAATTATCTTGGATTATTACAAGGTATCTTTATTACTTTTCAAGCTATACGGTTTTATCAAGGCAAGTAGAAGGTTCCAGAAACAACATTTAATGTTAATTTACTGTATGGTATGTATTTGAATCTCTTATTTCCAAAGTGAACCCTAATAGATTTTTATGGAAATTGAGATAAGTATCGAACCCCATGTAGAAATGCCCAATGAATCCGATGGTGCAATTACTTTTTGTATCTATTATTAACCGATAATTTAGTATTGTATAAAATAGTTTCTATTTCCTTTAAATAAACATGTTTTGTTTTTCCATTTCACCTCAATTTTAGATATATTGGAATAATAATGGGATCACATGGTTGGTATTTTTCCCTCTTTATCTATGACGAATTTGATGCAAATCGGCATATGGTACAAATAAATTACAGCTATTATTTAAAATTCTAAAACACATCTCAGTAATTTGGATCATATGACACATGGACTTATTACGGATTACCCTCTGCTGCTGACAAAGGTATATTCACCTAACAAATACCCTTTTGTTCGGCCCCTTAATATAATTAAGTTAAAATCCCAAAAGAATAACAAAATTTCACTATTACTTTTACTTACTTAATCTTTTTTTTTTGGTGTAGGGAGTTGGCGGCCCCATCAACCAGTCATTTCCAGGTTGGGGAAACAATTACACTGACATCCCCACAGCACACAAACATAAAGGACACCTACAGTACACACCCTAGGGTCACCTTTCTTAGGAAGGGGAAGCAGGTCAAGCTGCTAATGAGGATTTCCTCCTCACCTAAATCCTGTGCCAGGTAAGGTTTACGCCTGTCCAGGTTAGCAACTGGAGGAGCACTACTCACCACCGCACCCAATCACAGACCATAACTAACAAAGGTCACTCCTGTTGCCCAGTGTTCCTTTCCTTCCTGAATGGTTGAGCCCGGCCAGGGGAGTTGCTTCAGAGGATATAGAAGGAAACGAGGGATGGCACACCTTGGCCCTCGGATAGTACAGAAACCAGCACCTCCTAACCAGGAAGGAGTACCTGCTCCATCAGCCCAGTGTATAAGTTCGGATGTTGTATTAGTGCCAGTTGGTGACTGGATAGAACCCTGATGCACGGACCGAAGTTGCTCAACCGCAGTGTTGGGCAAAAATTATCTATAGCTAACAGATAACAGATAACAGCTAAATTAGCTATTAGCGGGAAGATAATTCTGCAACTAAATTAGCTATTAGCAGGACCAAGAAGCTAACTTTTAGCGTAAGATAACTTTTAGCTGTTCTTACCGCTAACCACTAATTATCTTTATCTGTAACGTCAACTAAAAGCTAATAGCTAACTCTTCGGATTTCATTGGTCTTAGAGTCGAATATTAGGTTTTCGGGGGCGCTTTTCATGAAAATAATGTCCGATTTTAGATAGTGCCCCCGGGTACCGACTTTTTGTAACATTTCTGATTTAATTGATATATGGGTCGACTATTAGGTTTTCGGGGGCGCTTTTAATGAAAATAATGTCGGATTTTAGAGAGTACCTTCGGGCACCGACTTTGTGTAACTTTTCTGATATAATTGATATATGGGTCGACTATTAGGTTTTCGGGGGCACTTTTCATGAAAAAAATGTCAGATTATAGATAGTGCCCACCGGGCTTCGACTTATTTAACTTTTTGGATTAAATCGATATCAGGGTCGACTATTATGTTTTGGGGGGCCATTTATGCGCCTTTTATGAAAATGATATCGGATTACGAATCATTTTCATGAATTTTGAGATAGTACCCCCGGGCCCCGACTTTTTGTAACATTTCAGATTTAATCGATATTAGAGTCAATTATTAGGTTGGGGGGTGCCCTTTTTATGAAAATGATGTTGGATTTGAGATAGTGCCCGGGGCCCGACTTTTTGTAACATTTCGGATTATATCGACCTCAGGGTCGACTACTAGATTTTGGGGGACGCTTTTTATGAAAATGATGTCGAACTTGAGATAGTTTCCCTGGAGCCCGACTTTTTGTAACTTTTTAGATTTAATAGATATCAGGTTTGACCATTAGGTTTTACGAGGCACTTTTTATGTAAATACTGTTGAATTTGAGATTGCGCCTCCTCATCTTTTTTTTTGTACTCTGATCTTAAATCAGACATTTTTTTTATTAAATTCGTTCCCTAAAACATAATAGATGACCCTGATATCGACTAATTCCAAAAAGTGAATTCACTGGGTGCAATCTCAAATATGAAATCTCAAAATTGACTATAATATCAATTAAATCTAAAATGCTATAAAAAGTCGGGGCCCGGGGGCATTATCTCAAAATTTATGAAAATGATTCGCAATCCGATACTATTTTCATAAAAAGCACCAAAGATATCAAAACATAACAGTCGACAATGATATCAATTTAATCCAAAAAGTTAAAAAAAGTCGAGACCCGGGAGGCCCAATCTCAAATTCGATATCATTTTCATAAAAAGCGCCCCCCAAAACATAACAGTCGACACTGATATCGATTTAATCCAAAAAGTTAAAAAAAGTCGAGACCCGGGAGGCCCAATCTCAAATTCGATATCATTTTCATAAAAAGCGCCCCCCAAAACATAACAGTCGACACTGATATCGATTTAACCCAAAAAGTTAAAAAAAGTCAAGGCCCGGGGGACCCAATCTCAAATTCAATATCATTTTCATAAAAGGCGCCCCCCAAAACATAATAGTCGACCCTGATATCGATTTAATCCAAAAAGTTAAAAAAAGGCGAGACCCGGGAGGCCCAATCTCAAATTCGATATCATTTTCAGAGCCGATACAGGAGGGGAGAGAAAAGGCTGGTCCTCCTAGTACCCATTCTTGGACAAGACAGATACGGGCGTCCTCTTCAAGGACCAACCCTGCCATCAAATATACGAAAAGACAGAGGCTGGTAGAAAAGTACCCACCAACGATACCTGCCGGTAAGACAAAAAAAGGTCAAAGCAATTGCCTAGAAGAGCCCAACGACTCTGTCACAGGACCTTCCTCACAGCAAGGCACTCAGATCAGGGGAATAGCCAATCCTACAGGGACACTGCAGCTGGGAGGGCATTGCAGATGGTTATAATGAAGAGCCAGAAGGGTGAGCCTATCAGACAGGAGGCACAACTCATACACAGGCTCCTCATAGCGGAAATCGACCTTGAAGAAACAAGGGATTGGCTGCTGGACTGGGTCCCTCCCATAGGCAATAACAACCACCTATCATTAGGAGCTTTAAAGAAACTGGACACCAAAGGACCTCCAGTCTTGAAGACACCTTGACTCATTTACTGGAGACCCACTTTCCAGGTAGTAAGATAATAAATAAAGACAATCCTCCTATCATGGATCCAAATGAAGAAGCCCCTATTAAATAGGAAGAATGGACATGGGCTGAGGCAGTCGTCACCAAAGGGGAAATTAAATGGGCTGTGGGAGAGCTCAAACTATATAACCATATAAGGTCCCTGGTACGGATGTTATATTTCCTTGCATGTTTAAAGAGCATTCCTTGCATTCTTAACGTTCTACTTCCTCAAATCAATGCATTTCTCAGATCCTCACTAGCACTTGGATATATACCGGAGTCCTGGGGGAAATCATTAATAGCCTTATTCCTAAGAACTGCAAGGAAGATTATAGTGTTGCTAAAGCCTATCAACCTATAAGTCTATTAGTTGGGTAAGATTCGTACTAAAAAATAGAATTATTGTTGTTTCAGAAGAAGCAGATTGCAGGCACGAGCAGTCAGGGAGTGCCCCAAAGGGTGCTGCATCTCACCACTGTTGTGGTGCCGGGTAATGAATGACCTATTAAATAGACTGGGTGAAGCTGGTATCTATGCCTAGGCATTTGCGGATGACTGCGGCGCTATCCTCATCATAGGAAAGTTCATAAATACAATTTTTTAATAAATGAAAGTTATATGCAACATTGTTCAGACATGGGGTACTGATATGAACTTATCAGTTAACCCATTAAAGACTGAGTTGATTCTTTTTACCAAGAAACGTAACCTAGATGTCCTCAAGGCTCCAAACTTCTTTGGTAAGCAACTCCAATTAAGACAGAATGTCAAATATCTTCATATTACCATAGACTCAAAACTGAAATGGCCTTTTGGCAAGTAAGACGTGCTGTTGGCATAACTTAGGGTTTTAACCCTTAAGTCATGCATTGGCTATATACGGCAATAATTAGACATAGAATACAATACGGAGGCGTGGTGTGGTGGGTAGCCCTAAATAAGGCCAGTCATGTGTGAATGCTATGTCCCACTAAAACTAATTGCCCCTTCAGGGACATTAATTGGAAGTTACAATAAAAAGAAATTAACAAAATAAGTAGTGATGTCATTCATAGATTTTCCTCCATCAAACTTTTCATTTTTATTTAAGAAGAAAAAGGCTCCTGGTCATATAGCATTTACCGGGCCCCCCCAATATTGTACACTCATTTTCAAGCTAAAACAGTATTTTTAATAAAATTGTTCTTAAAGGATCTTGATATCCTTTATTTAGTCAAAACCCTTCTAAACTGAATTTGTTTGGTACCATAAAGGCTACTGAAAATGTTTTATAAATTCCTTCTTACCTGCATCATAGTCAATGCTGTCAGCCATCGATACTCTTGAAATAGGCCCAAGCACTTGATCACCAGTATCATTTTCTGCTAATGATAGCCCACGCATTTCCCAGTTGATAGAATAAATAATCAGTTCATTTATACCTAATACGAATATATACTGTATTAATTGAATTTAAAATTTTATTAACTTATTTATTTAGTAAATAGCTGCAAAAAAGAGATATGTAAAAAACAGAAAAATAATAGAGTATCAGAAATGACATAAGCATACCTACAACTAGATTATATTTTATAATAATAATTCAGTTACAATTAATGTACCATGACATTTGGTAGAATCTTCGGAATCCTTAGTGTATCCAGCAGCACAAGCACAAACCCTTTCAGAGGTAGATATAGGAAAACATAAGTGAGAACAGTTACCCCTATTTATTGCACAAGCATTTGTTCCATTTTGAGAAGAAGGATTATATATCTTTAATGACATCACTATGCCTGTTAAAATATAATTGTTATTTATTTTATATGACTATTAATTAATAATTTCTTGCAACATAAGAAAAAATAATTTTAAAATTAAATTAATAAATCAATGGAGACATGCTCAGTTAAAGTTAATGTCTTAAAATAATTTACTTCATACCAGTATTATTCCTTATAAGAGTCGAGTTAGAACCTGACGACTTATCAATGCTATATATTGCCAAAGTATCCTGGGCAGCATAATATAGAAGATCATTGAATAATGTTGCACATAGTGGAGCAGCGTCTTCTCTTAGTGGTAGTTTGGTCAGCTTCCTCAAATGCATGTCATAAAACTGTATTGTCTTGCTTTTGACATTCACCCAATAAAGTCTGTTCTTATCAGTATCGACAGTGAGGCCTGTTGGCAAATGACTATTTACTGTTAGCAGTTTATTAATTAACTATGCCTAGAAATAAATAATTACTAAGATCTTGATAACAAAATTGGAAACAATATTTTAAGGGAGAAAAAATTAAGTTTAATCAGATAATACAGTCATACCCTGCTTAACAGGAGTGATATGTTTCTCAGAAAATGTAAACAAAAATTGATGTAGAGTTGGTTGACCGTTGATATGATATGAGAAGGAATTAGTCGAGGGTGCGGTCAAAAAAATAAAAAAAATTAAAATATATAAATAATTTTAATTTTTGCCGACGTTTCGACCCACTTTGCAGGTCGTCTTCAGGGCTACAAAAGATACAAACATGTTGAAAATATAAAAATAAAATAAAAAATAAATATAAGTATATATAAATTACGAAGAAGTTGTCAGATACAGAAATAAAAGATAAAGAAAATAAATACATGATAAGAAAATAGATAAAAGAAAATAAATACATGAATGTTAACGAATAAAATGTTAGATAAATGATTGAAAATTGAATAACTATTGTTACAGTAAAGTTAAAATATGGATAAGATAACATAATAATAAGATATCAGTGGATAACAAGCAAGTGGAGGTTACCTTTAATTGTAAATAAACAGATAACGGGACCAAAGGTTAAGAAGTGAAGAAATTGAAAGATTAATAGGGTAACATTAGTGTAATATTGTTGGGATAGATTATTAAGTATAAATAACTCTATAAGAAAACAATAATTTTAAAAGAATACTTTAAAATGTAAGAATAAATGTAAAAACAAGGTTATGATGATAAAGAAACAAAAAACAGGTTGTACTATATATAGATGACAATTGACATTTAGTTTTTTGAAAGCGGTAATGGAATGGTAGGCTGTATGAAGATAATAATAAGGTGTATAGTTGAAGGATAGGTGTGTTAAGAAAGGAATCTCAATAAAAGTCAAAACATACCGTTGGATGTGGCACTGCGGGAGGCGGTTGAAACACTGGCAGTGTCAAAAACTCTAGTTAGCAGTGTCAAAAAAAAAGTTCTAGTAAAAATAAACGCATACATACATACACATATATACACATACAAACACACACACACACACACACACACATATATATATATATATATATATATATATATATATATATATAAAAGGAAAAGTAAAAGAAAGTATAAATGGAAGTGAGAAGATTAAATAGAGGTTTATGATCGAGACTTTTTTAAAATGTTGATGATTTGGGAGTAGGCGAGTGATAGATTTTGCTTGTCGGTTTTTAAGTTAAGTGGTTTGTAGTCTAATTGAATGAAAACACTTTCCGTAAGTAGTCTTTTGTCGTGGTTAGGTACTGTGGCAAGAATGGAGGTATTGTCAAAGTCAAATGTGTGGTTTGAGGTTAAGGCGTGTTCAGAGAGTTTAGAAGCAGTAGAGTTCTTAGAAGTAATTGAGTATTTGTGTTGTTTGATGCGGTCTTTAAGTTGGTTTTTGGTTTCTCCAATATAGGCGGAGTTACAATTGGTGGTAGAGCAAGGAATGCGGTATACGATATTAGAGCGGTGTTGCGGAGGGATGGGGTCTTTTAGGTTGGAGTAAATATTGGCAAGTTTGTTATAGTTTTTAAAAGCAACTCGCAGGTTGGGAATAGAGGAACGTAAAGATTTTTGAATTCTATCCGAAAGTAAAGGGATGTATGGTAGAGATCTATATAAAGGAATGGGGGGCTGATTTTGAGAACTAGAGAAAGGGATGGAGGATGAGGGGCGGGTTTTGTAGTCAGTAATAAGTTTTTTAATGGTGTTGGAGGGGAAGTTATTAGACAATAGTATCCGTTGTATGCGTCTAGTGTTTGTTTCATGTAGGTAAGGGTCAGATAGAGAAAAACATCGGTGAATGAGGTTTTTGGCAACGTTAAGTTTTTGGTGAAAGGGGTGTTGAGAATAGTAGTTGAGTAATCTGCCAGAGTATGTTGGTTTTGTGTACCAGTCTGTGGATAAAGTATTGTTGGGATGTCTTTTAATGAGAAGATCGAGGAAAGGGAGGGAATAGTTATCTTCGTATTCAACTGTAAAAGAGAGGCGGGGATGATATGAGTTAAAGGCGGAAAGGATGTCAGGAATAGTATCAGGATTGACGATGAGAAGAAGGTCATCGACGTATTTTTTTATAAGAAATATGTCATTAGGAAACTGTGGGGCTATGGTGTTTAGGAGATCATTAAGAACAATGTTAGATAAGTCGGGTGCGAGAGGATTACCCATAGCTAATCCTGCAATTTGATTATAAAATTGTCCATGGAACTGGAGATAACCAGATTTGCAACAAAGTTGTAGGGATTCAATAAATGATGAACGGTTAAGGGAGGTATGAGACTCTAAGGATGACCAGTTATTTTCTACTATAAGAAGGGCTTTATCTATAGGGATGTTGGTGAAGAGGCTTTTAACGTCGAAAGAGACTAGAATGTAATTATCGGGAATGGTTAGGGATAATAACAAATTACGTAGATGAAAGGAGTTGTGGATATCATATGGATTGTCATGACTAAGGATTTGTAAGGATGGGAGTAGAAATTTGCTGAGTTTTAAAGAGGGAGAGTTGATATTAGAAGTGATAGGACGGAGGGGAGTGCCGGGTTTGTGAATTTTTGGAAGACCATAGAAACGGGGAGCCACGGAGTTATAAGAGATGAGGTTTCTGTAAGTAGGATATGTGATTTGTTTAGAGTGTAAGAGGTTTCTGATATGTTGGTTAAATTGGATTTTAAGAGAAGGAGTGGGGTCACGAGTTGTAGGAGCGTATGTAGATATGTCTGATAGGAGTTCAGTCATTTTTCTATTATAGTCTGTGAGGTCCATGATAACTGTTTTATTTCCTTTGTCCGCTTTAGTGATGATGATGTCGTCATGATTTTTAAGGAAGGAGCGTGTGGAAGAAAGATCTTTGAAGAATTGAGGGGAAAAGTTAGAAGTAGTGGATGGGGGGTGTTGGAGATGGTTAGAGATAATGTTAGTTATGGAAACACGAGATAATTCTTTATTATCATTAGAATGGTGAAAGATCGGATCGTTATAAATATATTCCAAGTCAGTAATAAGTTCAGGGATGAGTTTGGTAGAGGAATTAGGGGTGGAAAAATTCGGACCTAAGCTTAAAATGTTGAGGACGTTGGAAGGAATATCTATGGATGAGGAGTTGTGGACCCAATTATCGTCTCCTTTTGGGTATATCTTATGGACTAACGATTGCTGAAAAATGTCATTAAATTTAGTGGTGAGAATACTTTTTTTCTTTGATCTGGTAGTAATAAAGATAGTGGAGATAATTTGTGATAGGTTAGTCATGTGTTCGTCAGTCATGATGGTTTGTAATAATTGAGTGATGGCGGAAATTTGTTGGTTGAGGTGATGGATATGTTGTATGATTTCACGGATTTTCAAACCACACATTTGACTTTGACAATACCTCCATTCTTGCCACAGTACCTAACCACGACAAAAGACTACTTACGGAAAGTGTTTTCATTCAATTAGACTACAAACCACTTAACTTAAAAACCGACAAGCAAAATCTATCACTCGCCTACTCCCAAATCATCAACATTTTAAAAAAGTCTCGATCATAAACCTCTATTTAATCTTCTCACTTCCATTTATACTTTCTTTTACTTTTCCTTTTATATATATATATATGTGTGTGTGTGTGTGTGTGTGTGTGTGTGTGTGTGTGTGTGTGTGTGTGTGTGTGTGTGTGTGTGTGTGTGTGTGTGTGTTTGTATGTGTATATATGTGTATGTATGTATGCGTTTATTTTTACTAGAACTTTTTTTTTGACACTGCTAACTACAGTTTTTGACACTGCCAGTGTTTCAACCGCCTCCCGCAGTGCCACATCCAACGGTATGTTTTGACTTTTATTGAGATTCCTTTCTTAACACACCTATCCTTCAACTATACACCTTATTATTATCTTCATACAGCCTACCATTCCATTACCGCTTTCAAAAAACTAAATGTCAATTGTCATCTATATATAGTACAACCTGTTTTTTGTTTCTTTATCATCATAACCTTGTTTTTACATTTATTCTTACATTTTAAAGTATTCTTTTAAAATTATTGTTTTCTTATAGAGTTATTTATACTTAATAATCTATCCCAACAATATTACACTAATGTTACCCTATTAATCTTTCAATTTCTTCACTTCTTAACCTTTGGTCCCGTTATCTGTTTATTTACAATTAAAGGTAACCTCCACTTGCTTGTTATCCACTGATATCTTATTATTATGTTATCTTATCCATATTTTAACTTTACTGTAACAATAGTTATTCAATTTTCAATCAATTTATTCGTTAACATTCATTTATTCGTTAACATTCATGTATTTATTTTCTTTTATCTATTTTCTTATCATGTATTTATTTTCTTTATCTTTTATTTCTGTATCTGACAACTTCTTCGTAATTTATATATACTTATATTTATTTTTTATTTTATTTTTATATTTTCAACATGTTTGTATCTTTTGTAGCCCTGAAGACGACCTGCAAAGTGGGTCGAAACGTCGGCAAAAATTAAAATTATTTATATATTTTAATTTTTTTATTTTTTTGACCGCACCCTCGACTAATTCCTTCTCGTAAACAACAATTGTTTAAAGCAGTGTTACTTTTTTTTACCTTCTAATACTTTAATTTTTTTTTAAATTTAATTTGTGTTGCTTTCAAGTAGTTTATACTAATTATTTGTATACTTAATTAGTTCCTCAAGTTGTTTTATAATCATGATTTGTAAATTTTGTTTTTGCTATTGAATATGTTGTTAACTTATTTTCCATTTTACACTCTTTATCAATGCACATTTCCATGTTTTAGCAAGAAGGGACTATTCAAACTGAAGAAAAAATAAGTAAATCCATCTGTTTAAAACTTATAACTTAACAAAAAAGGAAAAGGCACATAAATAGTTTTCTCTGAAACTCCTGACTTTAGCAAGTCCCGATAAAAAATAATGAGTAGTGGCACCTCTTAATTGAAACTAGCATTCAAAGAGCTACTAAATATCACTGCAGCCCTTATAAATATTTCAACTAGGTACTTACTTTTCATTCTTTATAAAAAGCAAAACTAAAATTGTTAAAATTATTTTGTCTTTCTTGAAATTAAAATATTTTTAATAAACATGTAAACAAAAATATATCCATGATAAAAGTGGGGTATGACTGTATTAGATTTAGAAATATAAAAACATATTAATTATACCCCTTCAGTAACCTGTTAAATACATTTGAAATAGATCATCAAAAATGATCATACAATAATCTTCTTATTCAATACTTTTGAAATATAACAAAAACCATTAAATTACAGATAAGTTGCGATGTTATACATTTCAAAATGCTAAATAACTGATCAGTGCTCAAAATTCAAATTTTCGGATGTATTCGATATAATGGTGTATTCTTATGTTTCCAGAGCCGTAGATTTTGAAAGGTTGGCTCTGGGAAAAATTACAGGCTGCATATCTTTCGTTTCTTCTTCTCCACACCCTTTCAAGCCCGTCTGGAGATCGAAGAGCGAATCTTGACTCATCTGTAAAAAGTACAGCACTCCATTCGTCCATAGACCAATGGCTGTGTTCTCCAGCAAAAGCTAGCCGTGTTACTCTGTGAGTTCTGGTCAACTCTGGTCCTCTTACTGGACAAAAAGCCGTTAATCCATACTCATTTAATCTTCTCCGAGCGGTAAGTTCAGAAATTTGCACACCTCGAACTTCTTCGAGCTGATGAATCGCTTGAACAACGGCAAGGTGCCGGTTTCGTAAAATTCTCAAAGTCAAAAACCGGTCATTCTGTGGTTCTGTTACCCTAGGCCGTCCAGAACCGGCTCTTCTATTGAAAGAACCAGTTTCCCGAAAACGCTTGACGGCGTCTTGTAAAGTTTCATATGGGATTCCGATGGCATTAGCTGCATATCTAATGGAACGTCCATCATCAATAAGTGCCACACCACGCGCAACATCCTCAGCACTAAGAGGCATTTTTAAACTTAATATTGAAAAAATTAAAAGCCGGAGACTAAGAAATGTGTTGCAAGAAACAGCACTGAACTAATGATACTGAATAAACATTTTGATTCCATAGAAAGTAAACATTGGAATCTAGAATCATTTCATTGAATTAAGGATTAAGAGTTATTGTCCTCTATATTAACATTCCTAATTGAAAACAAACAAAAAGATTACCTATTTATTCATTAAAAACAATAGACCAATCCAAAGCAGAAATATTTTTAGAAGAAAACGTGAAAAAATCAAGTGGATGGAATTTTTTGCCTGTCAGTGTATTTTATTATTATTATTTGTTTTGTTTTTTTACTGTTTAATGTTCTTATTGGTTTTATAAATGGGTTAGTGTCTACTAGTAAGTCCTCTGAGTGATATTTGTATATTTTTCAGATAAAAATGTACTTTATGTTGTAAAATAATTTATTATTCCTGAAGAGGCGAATATTCGGATAAATGTACAATAAAGTATTTTACTATCGAGACCAAAAAGGTTTTATCTAATCTGGTCATACATCTTAGTGTAATTAAGATAGTTATTTTACTTATAAATAACCTTCCAATTTATCAGGGTTCTTGGTTATTTACACTCATTAATTTTAATTTTTAAAAACAAAACCCCAGCTCTGGATATAAAATTTTTGAGGCTGTTTACTGTTGTTGGGAATTCGGAAATCTAATCATTTTGTGACACTGAGTGGCAAGAAATAACACTATGAAGAACATATATGAAATGTTGGACTGATAAAATACACTGAAATTAATTATGTCACTTGATTTGTTGTTCTTCAGTTGTGAGGCATATAGGACAACTAAACAAAAGGAATATTCATTCCTGTACATCAAAAATAATTTATTTTTAATAACTGTAATGAATGAATCTATTAAAGTCTTTTCACAGTAGGCTTGATCTTCTTAATCTTCAGTGGAGTGGGCTTCTCTCCTGGCGGCATGTCTTAGCCTCAAGTGAAATCTTTGTTCTTCCAGAGTCCCTCTTCAGCTGCTGCCACCTGCCAGGCACTTTTCCCGGCTTCTTCCTTTCTTATACTGCTGTACCTTTTCTCTACCTTTTTCATCAAATGGTACTTTTCACTCAACTTGTCCACTGCACAATTGAGTATAATTCATAGTGCAACCCTACATTACTATACATTCACTCATTAAATTTCATATAAAGGAGTAAATAATAGAGACCATCTACTACATACTTTTCCTTTGATTTAATAACATAACCAATTTTTGGATTTCTGCCCTATCATCAGGAATTCTCTTTTACTGCTCCTAATATTATGCTATAAATCTATATGTTATATTGTCTTTTTTTTTTTTTTTTTACCATTATTTGTTAAAACTATTCTATTAGGAACATTCCTTAGATCCTTACAGACAAGAATCTAAAGGAATTAGCAAAATAGTTCCTGACAGCAAACGTTTAGACAAATAAAAGGAAAAATACAATTTTTAATAACTCACTTGTGGTATCTATTAAGTCATGGTTGTGATCTGAAGACAGAAATGCTTGAACATTGTGACCAGACATATCACTTGATTTGAGATAAGTATTTGTATTTTCCTTCTGGGCCCAATAAAGTTTTCCACGTAAAGGATCTACAGCAAGTGATCTTATTTGGTAATCCTGAAAAATATTTGATATGTCAGTGTAATTAAATAAGAGGAAATAATTCAGTGTCAAGTTTTTTTTTTTTAATATTAAGGAATAGTTTTAAAGTGGCGATTGTTGATATATGGATAGTTGTTGATTTATCGATTTTGGTGGGATGAGAGGAAGCTTTTCTTTTTTGTATAGATTAGGAATAGAGGTTTTAATTGAACTCTGCATGTTTGTGATAATTCCTTTACAAAACATGGTATCAAGTGAAACTAATATTAAATGGATTTAAAATTGAATACATTGATCATCTTTCAGTTAAGCAGAAGTTGTTTCAGAGGACTTATTCATTTAAAAATTGAGGATTATAATAGTACAGGGGTCCCTGAACTACAGGCCACAAGCACCTCCAATTAGGCCCACCAAAATTCTTCTATTACATGATAAAATGGTTAAAATTATTTACAAAGTAACAATAAAGAATAACAGAAAAAGAATAAATAAGAAATCATAATGCAACCTCTAATATTAACAAATAGAAAAAAGAATGATATAATAAAAAATAATTTATTATAAATAATAAATTGTTATAAATAATAAATTATTATTTATTTTATAATATTAATTTTAAAAAAGTAAAAATAAAAATGAACCAATATTTTATGTACATATTAGCAAACTCATATATTCAAAATTTTTTTGGGAATTGGATGGAGAGGAAATGATTAAAGAGGCGCGATTTGAATGCAGGAAGGGTATTGGAATGATGGAAAGGGATACAATTCCATAGGGACAAGGATCAAATAATGAAAGATCTGTCAAATATCCTGGATCAATGGGCCACGGAGCACTTCATGCTTAGGAGAAGACGCCCGCCGGAGGACAGAAATGAGGAGACCCAGATGTAGAAATAAGGAGAAAGATAAAGTGCAGCCCCATAATAAGGCGCGTGACCGCACGCTGAGCTGCATCACATGTTACCTGGCATTGTATCCCAAAATAAATTTTACCCTGATAGCATGTATTAGAAATAAAAAGAGTTTATGGGTGACAGTAGCATGCGCAAATCCCATATGCACTACCCTACTGCCGCCGAACCCCCTATGCCAGAAACAGCCAGGTACGGGGGGAAGAAAAAAGAAGGATCAGTGTGCCGTAGTATATGGATCTGAAGACCTAGATTGGGTATTGTAGGGATGAACTGAGGATTTGAATTGAAGGAGCTCAGTAATGTATGATAGACGGTAAAACTAGAAAACAAAAAAGAGGAAGGATGCCAGGAAATATTCGCATTTTGCAGTGGATACCAGGACAATATGTGTTGTCAGGTAATGAAAATGCTGAGCAATTAACAAAAGAAGGTGCCAGGAAAGATCAACCAGATATGCCAATTCCTTTCTTGACAGCAAAACAGATAACTAAAACATCAATCACTGGGGAATTGGAACAGAAATGGCAGTTGGAGTTGAAGGAGAATCAATGAGCTTCATTGCTAGAAGAAAATAGAAGAGTGCCAGTGGATCTCATTAGAGTGAGGCAGTTGCACAGTTTAGGATAAAAACTGGACATGACTATCTCCAAAGCCATCGATACCATATTGAAAAAGTCTAATCAGTAACATGTCCATTGTATCAAAAAAGATCAATGACAGCTCTGCATCTATGGACTTGTCCCGGACTACAGGATGTTAGAACCAAAGTCAGGACTGAACGTGAAGTTTACTGGGCTGCTAGACTTTATGATGGGATACCATTAGCAGAATAGCAGACTCACTACACCTACGATACCATACTCAAAGAGAATTTTAACCGCTGTCTGGGCCCTCAATGAAATACTTGCCGAGCATTTTAGGTATGAAGCATGAAACTTTTCTTTTCCATATATATGTCAATTTATTCTGTCCAAGGTTTCGGCCTTTTTTTCCATCTTCTGAGACATTACTATTCACTGTTAGAACATCATATGTTATTATTAATTGTTACACTTTTTTTATATATTTAAACATATTTGCTTATAAGTATTTACAGTTTATTTTTTATTTACCTTATTAATGTTTCCCTTCATTTCCTGCATGTTATTAACATTTGTCTTTTTTTATTCTATTTTTTCTATGAGCATAGTTTAGATTTTTAGAATCCATTTTATAGTTTTTTTTATTTATTTATTTAGAAATATAATAATCTGTCACTTGGAATATATAATATATCACATGAAATATAATCACTTGAAAAATAATTATAGTGATATATGAACACATTTACACCATATATACAGAAAACATAAAATTAAAATAATAATCAAAAACTATGTACAATAAAAAATAAAATAACCTATAGATAAGTCAATTAAAAACATAAAAACACAGTTATATCTATATGCAATAATGCAGGAAACCTCAAGCCAGGCTTCTCCATCCAACTATAGAAGAAAAAGCAGGACTCCAAGAGATCCCAGTGCTACTCTCTCAACCGTCTCACTGAAGCTCAAAATAGAAGAAGAAAAATCATATATTTAATTCAAAAGAAACATATTTTTACAAACTTATAAGAGGGAGCTAATAAAGATGTCTAACCAAGTTCTTTTGAAATATCTGAGTATTGGAAAGGAATTCGGAAAGTAAAAGAATGTTATAAGAGTGATGCAAATTGGTTGGAAAATATTTGCTGTAACCTATCAGATCTCCAATCTATGGAAGCAACCAATATTACTGTGGAAGATTTGGTGAAGGCACTTAAACAAAGAAAACAACGGAAAGCTTTTGGACCAGATAGAATACAAAATTACTGGCTGAAGTATTTTACCAATATTCACAATCATCTTGCTTCTTGGTATCAAAAACTACTATTTGAAGAAGTAGACCTTCCTGCAAACTTCTGTAAAGGTGCGACTTACTAAATAAAGAACACAAATAAGGAAAATTGAAGATTCACGATTTGAGACCGTGTCTAAATGATGTTCACAAGTTACTAACGGCTGTCAGACTACATTTAGGGAAAAGTGATAATGTCAGTAGAACAGCTAAACAATAAACCAGATTCGAAAGGATGCAAAACACTTCTGGTGATTGATTCTTTTATTGCTGATCAAGTTAAAAAAAGATCTCGTAATATTGCTTTGGCTTGGATAGACTACCCTAAAGTATTTGATTTGCTTCCACATCATTGGCTTCTGGAAGTGTTGAAGATCTACAAATTAGATTAGGTGATAATAGATCTACTCGAAAGACTTATGAAAATTTAGAGGGTTTCTCTCTGTACACCAATTCGGAATAGAATAAGTGTCAATGAATATATACCTATAAAGGGCAGTATTTTTCAAGGGGTAACCCTTAGTCATTTTGGTTCTGTTTGGCACTTAATCCACTAAGCGAATTATTGGGTCATACAGACAAAGGATACCTTACTAACTCTGAAACGAAACTCTCTCATTCGTTCGATATGGATGACCTCAAGCTTTATGCTAAAAATGAAGATGGAATGAGAGCTCCTTTGAAGACAGTAAGGACGTTCAGCAATGATATAAAAATGAACCTAGATGTTGGGGCCAGGGGTACTTCTAAATCGAAGTACAAATCTTTCCCTGGTGGGTTTCCTCAAAGGTGGGGAAAATTCAAGTAAAATTAAAAATGTTGGGATAGAAGGAAAAAAAAAAAAGAGTAAAAATGAGACCTGTAAAACATAAAAAATGTGCATGCACAAGAAAATATTAAAAAATAAAAATATTTCAATAAATAAAAAATGGAAAATAAAACATCCCCTTTAGAACATTTACAATTTATTGAATAAAAAAAGATCTAATTATGTACAAATGTTTAAATAAATATTGGTGTAAAGTTGCGAGAAAAATAAAACATAAATACAATATGCAGAGAAAATAAAAACAAATTGACCATTAATAGCAAAATATAAATAAAACAAATTTCCAAAATTATAGTAAACCAAGAGAAAAAAAATAACTTCAAGAGAAAAAAATCAAATTTTGAAAATAAAATTAATTAAAAGGAAAAAAAATTAACTTGAGAGTTCGTTAAAGTTGAAATAATAATTTGAGAGAAAACCCAAATCAATATTTAAATGTCCCATGGTGATGGTGAGAATAAAAAACGTTCCAAGTTGGAGAATCTTCTTCCAAAGAGGATACCTTGTACGATGTCAAGTCGATGGTGGGGAGTATCGAATCGATAGGCCTATCGATCTCGATCGACGACTAGAGATGACATAGCTGGGCCTCTCAAAATGGCGTTGGTGAGGTGAACGAGACGAGATGGCCTGGAGCTTGGTAAAAATGGTGGGGATAGACGTCCACTACAAACGAAAGACAGCTCCAGACTGCGGACCTAGCAGTATTTTGATGTCTTAATCCCTAAGACAGGGTATTACTGCCAGGCTGGCGCGTATACACACAAACGTACATACACAAACATGATAACACATCGCAAAATAAACCAAATATATAAATCATATAAACTAAAATACATTTTGAGACCATTGTCCCTCAGTTTTTTACCAAAAAAAAATAAACCTTTCATCATTAACACTTATAAGGGGTGAATGGTGAGAAAAATAACACCAAAAACATATCCTTTATAATTCAAGCCGTCTCCCTCTGGAATACTATCCCTCCCGATATCCGACATGTACAATGAGTTTCCTCATTTAAATCTCTCCTTTTTAACCAACTACTCCTTTCCCAACCCGATTGATCATGAAATGTAGATAAGAGAACTTTTAAAGTTTCCCCAGAAATTATTTTCTTTACTTATGCTATTTTATTTTATTATATAGTTTGTATTATACATATCAGAATGTTTTTAGTGTAATAGTTATATTTTTTGTTTTATTATTTTTTCAAAATCTTAATCTTAATAATAAATGTAAATAATTAATTTTATGTATGGCCACACAGGCATTTATTCTGTTTCTGTAATTTGTCCAAAAGGGACAACAGTCCCAGGATAATAAAAAAATATTTTCATTTTCATTTCATTTTCAAAAAAAAAATAAAGATATGAGATTATGCGGCGTTAACACTAGGGATAAAAAAATGTCCACTAGTACATGTGAAAAGAGGATGAATTGTTGAAGAGAATAATATTGAACTGTCAGAATAAGTAATAATGAATTAACTGAGGTAATTCATTCGTACAATCACTTGGGAATACACCAATTCCTCAAAGACAAAAAAGAAACACTTTGAGGAAGAATTTAAATACCATATCAAATTAGTAGTTAAATGGGAGAAATTTAATACCTACATTGAATAAGTGGGCAGTATCAGCTTTAGCCTATTCATTTGGAGAACTAAAGTGGACAAAAACCGATTTAGAAAGGTTGGATTGCCTTCTCAGAGTCCAGATGGTTTTTTCAAGAAAGAGGCGTCGAAAGTCATCAGTTTCGAGGTTATATCTTCCTAGGAAGATGGGAATGCATGGTCTAACCAGCCTACTACATTTATGTCAAAAGGAAGAAAATAATCTTCAAAACTATATTGTAAACCATACTTCCAACATCCTCTCAGCTATTGCATCATTAGATTCAAATTACATGGCTCTAAATCTACAAACCTTTGGAATTATTGAAGTAGATGATGTTGTTCTGTAAGATATATGGAAAAATAAAGCTTTACGTCGACGATTTTATCACACATTAATGGATGCAGGAGTGGACACAGGCATCATTGATATGGATGAAATGTGGAAACAGAAGGTTTCCTGCTAGCAATTCAAGAACAAGTAATTGCAACAAAAGTAAACAGAAAACATATTTGTGGAGAGTGTCAGTAACTTATGTCGCCTATTTCAAAAGGCAGTCAAGTCAATACAACGTCTGTATGTACAATACTTGGGGGTAAGGAATATTTGCAGAGACACAATAATGCAGCTAAAGCAGTGCACCAGGATAGTTCAGAAGATGGAACTCATGGATGACTATATCATCCAAAGCCAATCATCTCTAAGCACAATATTAAGCTGTCTTGGGATCATCCAATTCAGACAGACCATACCATCCCCTACAATAGGCCAGGCATTCGTATAATAGACAAAGGTAAGCAATCTGCACTTATCACCGAGATTGGCGTTCCTTCTAATGATAACTAACACAAGATATTAGTGGAAAAGAAGGGAAAATATGTAGAATTGGCTAAAGAAATAATATAACTGTATCATTTAAAGTAAATACTAATTTTACCAATTGTGATCTCATGTTACGAACCAATACCAGAGAAAACTCAGTCTTCTTTGCCACAACCAGACCTACCGTCAAATATGATGGAAAGAATGGAACAGGCAGTATTGCTGGGAACTGCAAATATTGTCAGGAAGTTTACTAATATCAAAGATTTTTTAAAATATAGAAATTTAATATTTGGCTGACCTACTAGGTTCCCAACTATTATGTATAATAGATTCTATTGTATATGAGAAACAAACAAATAAATTAATAATAATAACAGCTTTATTTACATTCTTTACAAAACTAAAAGCCTCTCCCGTGGGAGGTATGAGTCTGATTTACAAACAATTCACAAAATTTCCATTTCTTCATTGATTAAAATTGTTTAAATTAATTTAAAATAAAATAATAATTTGCCTATAATTAAATAAAATATTTTCTATTTTGTATTTGAACACTTGGCTATAAATGATAATTTACTACAAGATTTTTATTACTTTAGTCTATAGGTCCTTATTCCTAGCAACAGTAGCTCAACAATCTCCTTCTTTTTGAACTATCTCATCTCGCCAACTCGAAATTGGTATTGCTTTTCTCTCCTATTCTCTTCATATCCACTCTGTTGCAATTTTGAACCACCTTCTCGTTTCAAGTCTGGCCCATCTCCATTTTATTTGTTGTGCTTCTTTTGTTAGTCTTTAAACTTTAATCCTAGATTGTACTTTTCTGTTGCTGATGCGGTCTTTTCTTTTGATACCTTCCATACTTCTATAAAATTGCATTTGTGTCCTTGCATATTTTTCAGAATTGTTTTATGTTGCTGATCATGTTTGAGATCCATATAAAATAACTAGTATACACATTTTCAATACCTTTGCCTTTAATCCTGAAGGTAGTTGACTTTTAAAAATGTGTTTCATACTTCAGTATTTTTCCATACCATGCTAATTCTTTTATTTATTTCATTTTTCTATTTCTAAGTGAGATGGATTGTTCTAAATAAATATATTGCTCGACATCACAGATTTCTTAATTATTAACTTTTACTTCTCCTTTCTGTAAATTTGTTATTATCTTTGTTTTATCGATCAATATTTTTACATTTTCTTTTTAGGTTCAATAACTATTTATTTATGCATTTTGTAGATCCAGAGGGCTGTAAAATTTCTCTGATTCTCTTTTCTTAATATTCTTTTAGTTCAAACCTAATTCTCTTTCTTAGCATCTTTCATATTTCACATCTCTACAAGAGGCGTCGCTGAGGATCCTACCTGTAATTTGTGTCATCAAGGAACAATGGATGCAGACCATCTAGACGCATGTTCTGCCTTGAGGGACATAAGAGAAAAAATATTTTCAAATATACATATCAGAAAGTCTAAATTATACTGGGCAGCAAGATGTCGGAAGACCAAATGACCAACGACTGGCATAAGAAAAAAAAAAAAAAAATATTTCACACTGTTCAATCTTCTCTTTTGGAGACTTATTTTGAATTTTATTTAATTCTTCCCTTCTATAGTTCATTTTTATGGTAGTGTCAGAAAGTTTATAGTTCTTTTGTTTCTTTATTGGTTGTGGTTCCCTCTGTGCTGTTTTTGAAGATTCCTTAGTAATAGCTACCAGTTGAATGTAGTGTTGCTGTATTGGTTCCTCTGAACTTATATGTTTAATTTCCAATACATTTTTGAAAGTTTCTATAAATTGGCACTCCTGCTCTTCGTTTGCTTTCAGTATTTCTTTCTTTATATAGAAACGTCTTGAATGCATCTTCATTTGCCCTATTATTAATCTATGACCTGATTTGAAATTAAAATTTTATTGTATCCTGATATTCTCTTCAAAAAGATTCCTACTAGATAGAATATTATCTTTTTTATAATCTTTATAAGTTTTTTCTAAGTTTTTGCTGATAACATTTGATGATTTTTCTTCTCTCCTGTACTTTTTCCTGGAGGAATATCTTGTGCTTGGAGTTCTTTCAAGCTGAAGACCTGACTATTTATAATTAATTTATAATCTTATTATAAATATAAGAGATTTCTTAAGAGAGTATCTTATAATAGATTTACAATTCTTTTTCTTTGCTTCTAATAGGTAGGTGAATAATTGTTCCCTTATTCTTCTGATGGCTAGCAGAAATTTTTTTTCCCATTTTTATAACTACATTTTTAGCTATTATTGAATTAAATTTTACTAAAATAAGGTTTTTTTCTTTGTTATGATAGGTTTTACGAAAATAATCCATGTGCTGTAACTGAGAGAGCAGGTTCCTTTATTTAAAAATGTTTTTTATTTCATTTTCCATAGATTTATATGTTTTCCCGTTTATTCCAAGTATTAAAATATTATATTATTAAATTCTGGGAATTTCAACAGAAAGTAAAGATTAGTAGAAAACCATTTACCCCGACAGCTGGTGAGCTAGAATAAAGAAGGTGAACTTCTTACCAATAAAATAGAAGTTCTCGGTACGTGAAAAAATCGATTCTTTAGACTTCTCAACTACGAAGAGGCTGAGACAGAAGGCGAAGCACCTGAAATAAATCAAATTACACCAGACGCAAACCTTGTACTTCCAGATAAAGAAGAAATAGAGGAAGCCCCAACAAATCAAAAATTCATACAACAGCAGGGCATAGATGGATTTCCAGCAAATTTATTCAAATATAGAGGCAAAGAGGTTATTAAAATCATTCAAGATAACCTATAAATAAAAATAATACCTACCAAAGTTATATATATGAATATTATGTTGAAAGTCATTACTTTTTCAGTGGCATTAAAGGAGCTTTTACCACAACATCAATAGAGAAGAGCTATACAAATCCTTACCTAGCTTCAGAATACCTGCCTAACTCATAAGTCTTATCAAATTTACAATGAATTACATCTCATGTTTAGTAAAAATTAACAGCAATAGGACCAAATGATTCAGCACAGGTAAAGGAAAAGAGGCGATTCGGCTTGTCTACTTTTTAACTTAAGGCCTAAGAAAAAGGCATAAGATACGCTGGGCTTCAGACAAGAGGACACATCCAGCAGTATATGGCTGATGCTGATGGATAGAATAGACCCATAGGTTATAAACAGAACCTCCTGAGACTCACTCAGCTTCTGTAAAGTGGTAGTTACCCATCCTTCAGAAGTTTAAGGAAAGGAAGAAATTTGATGGTTAACTTCACTTCCTAAAGTAAAAATTAGTTAAGGATCACATTTTTCTTATCAAATTCTAAACCATTCATGGACGGCTTAGTGGTAAATTAAAGTTAATGGTAATTTTTATGCTTCCTACAACAATCAGATAACTATCAAACTCAGAAAAAATTAGAAACATACAATTTAGGAATTGTTTCTCAAGTAAATTACAGTGTGAATTGGTGAATAATCATATAAAATAATTTAATGTTTAACCTACCTCCCAAATACTAGCACTACTATGATCTTCTGTTGTATATACAGTAGTGATAAATTCTCCATTGAGGGTACAAGCAAGAATTTTGTTTCTATTTGTACCAACAGAGCTTAGAAACATATTCTCTGATATCCAATCAATTGCAAAACCAGTAGGATGATCAATTCCTGAGGAAATAAAAATTAATTTTCAAAACATTAATAGATAGTCAAAATCTAACAAAACATATTCATATTTGCATCTCATTGACCTGTATCTATAATGCTCTCAGGAGTGCCACCACTAAGATTAGTGCGTCGAATGACATTAGCCTCACTATCTGCCCAATAAATAGATCTGTTCTTAGCTAAAAAATCCAATTGAACAGGGGCCTGCACCTGCCAATTTTAAGAGAAAAATATCAGTATTGTATCAAATGCATAATCTCATTATGACACCAAAAATTAAATTCAAAATATAATCATAATTTACATCTCCTTTTGTTCGTACAGGAATTTTAGTTATTTACACTTGTAAGTTGAAGTTAATTTTAAAACTCAGCTCTGGATAAAACTTTTTGAGGGTGTCTATAGCTGTTGGGACTTCAGGAGAACTAATTCCTTAGTGACATTTTGAAATAAAATTAAATGAAATGAAAATAGATTTTTATTATCCTGGGACTTTTGTCCCTTTAGGACAAATTATAGATACAGAGGAAATGCCTGTGTGGCCATAAAATTAAATTAAATATTTACAATGCTCATTAAAATAAAAATATTGGAAGAAAAATAAAACAAAACATAAATACATACAGATATATATAATACAAACATGTGAAAATAAAATAACATAATTAAACAAAACCATTTCTGGGGAACTTAAAAAGTTCTCTTATCTACTTTTCATGATCAATCGGGTTGGGAAAGAAGTAGGTGCTTAAAAAGGAGAGATTTAAATGAGGAAACTGATTGCGCATGTCGGATATCAGGAGGGATGGTATTCCAGATGAGACGGCTTGAATTATAAAGGATTTGTCAAACGCAGCAGTTCGGTGAGGAGGTGAGATAGAGGTCAGAAGTACGGGATCTATGGGACGATTGAATGGAATATTTAAATTGTAGGCTGTGAAAAATATAGGAAGGTCGCTGAGTTCTGATGGCTTGATATAGAAAGGTAGCAAGGAAGTACAGACGGCGGTTAGATAGATAGAGCCACTTCAACTTGGTGTAATACTGGGTTATATGGCTATCTCTTGAGATTCCGAAAACAAAACGTATTGCGCAGTTCATCAGGCGTTTAAGTTTGGCCTCGAATTCTCCCGAGAGTCCGCCGTACACCAGACAGCCATAGTCGAAGTGGGGGAACAAAAGGGAAGAAACCAGGAGTTGAGGAGATTTATATGGAAGGAGATAGCAGAGACGGGTAAACTGTTTCAGGGTAGAGATAGTACGACAGGAAATTTGGAAGATGTGTGGTTTCCAGGAGAGGGTTTGATCAAAGGTAACACCAAGGTTTTTTACGGAAGTATGGAATGAGATAGGTGAGTTGTTCAGGAAAAGATTGGGGAGTGTCGGTAAGGATTTGAGGAGTGAGGGAGTTCCGATCAGGATGGCTTTCGTCTTCTCGGAGTTTAGAGTAATTCTATTGTGGTTTGCCCAGGCACAAATTCCGTCTATATCTTCCTAGTAATTTTTGGATGGCGTCAGAGGATTTGGTCGGATTGAAGGAGAGGTAAATCTGGACGTCGTCAGCATACAGATGGTATTGACAGTGTAGGATAGAGGATGGAAGGTCATTGATGTAGATGGAAAAAAGGGTGGGAGATAAAGAGGAGCCTTGTGGGACACCTCTGGTCAAGGGTAAAGATTCTGATGGGGGGTTATTGGGGACTACAACATATTGGGAGCGGCCGATGAGGAAGGATTGGGACCAATTAAGAGTACTAGTTGAAAAGGAGATATTTTTAAGCTTGGTTAGGAGAATTTTGTGGTCTACTGAGTCAAAGGCTTTGGATAAGTCAAGGAGAATTAGGATGGTGAGTTTCTGCTGGTCCATGGCTGTATGAATGGCTCGGAAAATTTTGATGAGGGAAGATTGATTGGAGTAGCCGGATCCGAAACCGGACTGGTTGGGATTTAGGAGGTTATTCTGTTCTAAAAAGTCGGATAACTGGGTTTGAACTAGTCGCTCTAAAGGTTTGGAAATGTTTGAGAGGAGAGAAATTGGATGGAAATCATTAAGAGTTGTTGGATTGAAAGTCTTCTTCATAGGGAGAACTAGTGCGGTTGTAGTGAGTAATTGTAGATATGGTAGAGGATTGGAAGGATGGATGGTAGTGAGGCTTTGATCAGTTTGACTGGGATGTTATCGGGTTCATAATCATTGGTTTGCGATTTCTGAATGGAGTTGAGGAGGTCATCAGGTGTAATATGGGGGGAAAAAAAAGTGATTAGGATAAAAATTAGAAAGGAAACTCATAGGAGCCGATCGCAGGAGGTGAGGATGAGAAAGAACCGGAGACAAAGTGAGCATTAAGGTCATCGGCAGAAAAGGAAATAAGCTGGGTTTGAGGTGTGTTACAGATGGTCAGTTTTTTTTGGATAGCGCATTTGGCCTAGGAGTCTGGGGTGTTGGATAAGGAATGATGGAAATAACGAGATTTGGCTCGGCGTATAGCAGACTGGGTGCTGGTTCGAAGTTGCTTGAAGGCAATGTAGACTTCCGGGAGTTGGGTACATTTAAACCGCCATCTTTCAGCATCTTTTCTTCTCATGTACTCGCTCAGAGCGGGTCTCAGCCAAGGAGCAGGGGGATGTCAGATAGTTTTAGTTAGGAGAGGAGCATGACAGTCGAGGATGGATTGAAGATGGTTGGTAAGGATTTCTACCATGACATCAATCGATTTTAAGGAATAGATGGGATCCCATTAGGCAGCATTGAGATCCTGTGACAGGGCTTCATAGGTGATGCAGTTGAGGTTTCGAAAGGATATGGTTCGAGAAGAAAAAAAATGGGACTGGGATGTTGTAGGAAATCTCGATAAGATCATGGGAAGACAGAAACGGAACCGGGTGCTGAGAAGCTGCGAAGAGCTTATCCAGGGAGTCCAAGATAAACAGATCATGCCAGGACTCCAAGAATTGGGTATGATGGGTAAGGTACTATATAAAGGCTGAGGGATTGAAGGAGGCTGATCAGGAAGGAATGGTCAGAGGATGGTATCATCGAATTGGTATTGAAGTCTCCAGTGAGGATAATATTGCAGTAGGAAGGGATCCAGTTGTAGAGGGAGGTCTCAAATAAATCATCAAAGGGAATTCTGGGAGGGCGGTAATTGACTGCAAAGAGAAGGGGAGATGATGGAGTTAGGATTTCAGTAAAAAGATATTCTAGATGTGGAGAATCAGTATGGGAAGAGCAATGAAGGATTTTGAATTTAAGGTTGTCATGAACAAAGAGACCTACACCACCACCTGTACGATCTACTCTGTCATGATGAAGGATGGTATAATTGGGTATAGTGATTTGTGAAGACGGAATAGAGAGCTTTAACCAGGTTTCGGAAACTGCGATTAGATGGTAGAAGTTGTGGAGGAAAAAAATCATAAAATTCATCAAAATGAGCTGGGAGTGACTGAGCGTTGAGGTGGCAGGTTAAAAGGATGTTAGTCATGAGAGAAGGAGGGTTGGCTTGGTTAACAGACTGGAAGGGCTTGGGGTAGGAATATTTCTATGGTGGTTGGAGCTAGTATGAACCCAGAAAACATAATTGTTGGTGACACCTCTATTAAGAAGAACCAATAGTATAATAATAAATGGAGCTAAACAAAAATAATGAATACTGATTTTGTAGTTGAGAAGTAGAAAAAATAAAATTTATTAAACGGAAGTTTTACTTCTATGGCGAAAAAAACAATATTTACTTGAATTAAGATGTCTAAAAGAATAAAACTTACACTGTTCTTATTAACATAAATAAAATTATCAGAATATATTAAATTAAAAGCAGCGAAATCATAATCTAGGAAATAAAAATAAAAAAGGGCAAATACAGTAATGAAAAATAAAATATGCAGCGTAATGGAACATGCGAGTGCTTGTCATGTGAATATGTCTAGGTCTGATGGCGAGTTAATCACGACAACCTGTTGGCTGTCATCTTTTCGGCATTTCACTTTGTCCGCATTGAACCAGACGTATCTAATCTTCCCTGCAGACCTCTTCTGTTGGGCTAACCAATATAGGTGTCGGTTGATTACGGACATCGCCTCGCTTACATATATTTTGTGACAAGAATAATAAGTACATGTGAAATATTGGAATGGGTGAATACACTTAAAATGAATTGGAATCACCTAGTTTTGTCGATCATCAGTTGTCTAAATGGAAGCTATTGAGGCATGTAAGAAAACTAAAACACAACATATTTACTTCTAACCAACATAATTAATTAATTTTAACAAAGATAAATACTGACTAATAATTAAAAGTCCTATAAAATCTAGTAGGCTTGACCTTCCTCTTTGTAACACTCCAGTAGTGTGATTCTCTCTCACGCAGTCACAAGAACCTCCCTTTCTCATGTCCCAGCCTCAAGTACTTCTCCTCTCTTCTCTCTCATGCCAGTGTCTCTCTGCAGCTACCTGCTTGACACTATCCTATGCCCCTTCATGTCTTTGTTCTTTGTTCATCAATTATGTATACATGCACATTTAGCAATTTTCATACAACTTGTTCATTGCACAATTCCTTGTCAGTCTAATTCATTGTGAAATCAACACATCCCTATTAAATTTCTTATTATTCCCTCACTCAATGTCACTTAAAGGTAGAGATGAACATTTCCGACTACAGGTCGGAACAGAACGTTCCACCACTGCAATTCGTTCCAGTTCTTGTCCCGTTTCATCTTTGTTTCGAATAACACTTGAAACGAGACAGAGAATAATGAAGCAAATATGCGAAATATTAAAACTATTTAAAGCAACAGAAAAATCATTGAGGCAGAGAGAAATGAAAATAAACAGAGAGAAGTACAGAAAAATGAAGAGAAAAAAAGAACTGGACATTTTAGAAACATTGATGAGAAGCCAAGAGCTAGCATTGTCTGAAAGGGACACCTAAATGATTCAATGAAACAGGTACTTATAGCGGTGTCACACGATGGCCTAAATGTTTGCGCGAATGTTCACAGCAATATTCATAGCAAAACCTCGAATGGATTCACAAGTGTGATGTGAATGGTTAGTGCAATGTGAGACGAATGTTGGATTTATATATATATGTGTGTGTGTGTGTGTGTGTGTGTGTGTGTGTGTGTGTGTGTGTTACTGATTTCAACGAAAATTAATAGTTTATTATAATTAAACTAAAAATTATTATTATATGTAAATAGGTA